CAGCTTTCAGAGCTGGGCCTTCACCTCAATAGCACAGCAGTGTTTGGGAGCAGCATGATGTTTTCTGAAGGCTGGGAGTGCTATGGGGAGGGTTTGAGCACTGGGAAAAGCTGCTGAAGGATCCTTCTCTGTGTTACTACTGCTGATCCTGCTCACTCTGTGCCATCTTTCAGGCAGCAAAAGCTGTGGGAAGGTTGATTAGTGTCTCCAGTATATTCATAAGCCACTTTGAACCATGTGGCCTTTAATGGCCTGAGATTTCTAGGGACTAGTTCAGCAAATCAAAAAAAATTTACAGCAGAGTGGGAAAAATCCTTTTTTTGAAAATGGATCCTTTGACAGTGTTGTTCCACACTGCCCTCTAAGATAGATATATAAGAAATACTGGAGGGATCGGAGTCACTGGGCGATGCTCTCATCCTCCTGTGTTTTCAGAGACACCAAACTCACAAACTCCATAGTTTTAAATTGCTTTTTATTGAAATGTAGTACATTAGCAAATCCTAACTAGTCAGTATACACTATTAACATATCAGCATATACCACGGAACTACAATACAGTGTTATACTTACATCAAAACACGTCAACAAGTTCTGCTGATGGCAAGCTACACTCTCACAAGGGCTGGAGGGCTCTGACAGTCAGGAGGGCACCACTTCACCCGCCATGCCCGTGTCCCCACAGCACACCCAGGCCCCTGTAGCTGCTGGAGTGTTCAGGTTCCCTGGTCACACCGGTGTGACCCACCTTGCAGCAAGCCAGTCGAAACAGACTTTTCCTTTTACACACAAGTTGTGGTTTTGTTGTTGTTGTTGTTTGCTGCAGTCTCCCGTGCCCAAAGGCTGGGGTGTCCCTTCTCTGCTGAGATAAAATGATCCCGTTTTGGTGGATTCAGTGCATAGTTAGCCATGGCCTCGAGCAGCTGATCCTGGACAGGCACAGTCATACAGAGAAGCTTTTAGTATTTAACAGCTACTTGCAAACTGCAGCAGGGCTGACGGGACAAGCAGAAGGGAGATGCTACCATTCAGTTTGCTCCAAAAGGTTATTCCCTTTTATAGGAGCAGTGTGACAGGTCTTACCAGTGCCGGGAGGTAAGCCTAGACATACAGGATGGGAAAAGTCTACCTGCTGATGTGGTGGCAACTGAGAAGTCTTCTTGTTCATGTAGCATCTTTCAGCAAACCAGGAAGCAACAGGCTGGGACCACACGAATGGGCAAACAGAAGCTTTGCTTCAACAGCCCCAAACACTCCATTAAACATTCTGGCTTTACAGCAGCAAAGAACAAGTTTACTTTCAAGCCCAGACTTTCCTGTGCTGGGGCATGGGAGGGTTGCTGAGCTGCTGAGCTGTTTTCTGTACCATCCTCCTTCCCAGTGCCGCCCAGGTCCATGGGAAGGCTGCGGGCAGATACAGCCCTTACTGCCCGAGACAACCCGAGTGTATCACAGACACAGGCACTGGGCAGGGCAAGGGGGAATCCAGAGCAAATCTGGTGGTCCATGGCTTAGCACAGCCCAGCAGAACTGCTCTGCTGTGAATTAATGGCTACTGTCCCTCCCGAGGGGTTTGGGCAGCTGAAGGTCAAATCACAGCCAAGTGAAAATGAGCCATGGAGCATGTGGGAAGCAGCAAAAAAAAAAAAAAAAAAAAAAAAAAAAAAAAAAAAAAAAAAAAAAAAAAAAAAAAAAAAAAAAAAAAAAAAAAAAAAAAAAAAAAAAAAAAAAAAAAAAAAAAAAAAAAAAAAAAAAAAAAAAAAAAAAAAAAGGCAAAAGGCACAGCAAATGCACACAGCTGAGCTCAGGGAAAATAAAAAGCTCCTGGATCATGAGGGGCTTGTGGATGGACGTGGTGAAAGGAATAGCCCAGCAGGAGTGAGGGAGCCTTTGCATGCATGTCCAGTTGATCTTTGGGTTGCAAAACCCCATTCCCAGCTGTATGGCACTATCTTATGTTACACCTCAGCCTGGCACTGAAATCACTCCAAATAGCTTCAACTTTCAGTAAAACACTATGTACTTCTTACTTTGCAGGAATATTAATACTTAAATACTAACTCTTTAGGAAAGGGACTATTTTTGGGCAACACCTTATACCACAGGGCCCCAAAACCCAGGGACCCTGGACGTTATTGCCATAAAAAAGAATAAATATTCAGATGTTATTGCACAACCTACACATCCATGTCTGTTCATGTGGGCACCTCCATGAGGCTACTGGGTTGGAGGAGTGAAAGGATGCTCCCTGCAGGGATCCACAGGACGAGCATCCCACAAGGACAGCTCCCACAGAGCCTGCTTTGGCCAAGAACAACCCACCAGGAACCTCTGTGCTCCCACGGACTGTGATGCTGGTTTGGAGCAACGAATCCCCTCTAGGGGGCTGGCTGGCATGGTGATGGCACAGTGATGAGATGGCACAGTGATGAAGAAGATGCTGGAGAACAGCTGGACGGTGGTGCCTGCACAATGGGGACCTTTACCTGGCTCTCCAGAGGAGGAGGAAGCAGGTAGTTACTGATGGAGTGGGATAGCAGAGATTAACTGGGGAGAATTAAGCATGTTTGGGAATGTTGCAGGCTTTTAAAAAGAGTAGGGCAATAAAAGGATCAAACCACTGAAAGACAACAGGGTGTTGATTCTTCCTGCTTTGCAAAGGCTCATGAAAGTGGATTTATTCTCCCTAAAGCACTTCACAAGCACCAGGTAAACCTGACAGGCCCCTGTGAGGTCAGGGCTGTGACCAGCAGCTCAGGACATCACCAGCTGGGGCTTACAGAGCACCAAGGCTCTGCTCCAGGAGCAAAATCCCATCTGGAGCCCCGCTCTTGTCACCGCATCCCACAAGGAAGGGGTAGGGAGTGCTGCTTTTTCTCTTAATTATTTCAAAACCGTAGGAAACAAAGCAGAAATGAGCACCAATGTACAGATGTACAGTCTACCTTTCCCTTGAATTCCCCCCAATCAGCTTAACTGGAGCATCTTTCCCTCCCTCAGTCCCTCCCCTGCTCAGCCTTTTCCACCGAGTGTGCCAGAGCTCGGGCTGCCCTGAGCTGTGCCCTGTGGTGCAGCAAGTCTAGCAGGGAAAGGAAAAAGGGAAGAAATCTTTTAAATATAACAACACATATGCAAGCTGTCATGGCACATCATGCACTCTTCTGCACTGCTCAGACTGGAAAATTAGGTCAAGTATGGCTGTGGAAAAAGGGGTGAAAAAGGAGCAAAAGCTTCACTTGGGAAGTTGAAGGTGTCTCCTGAGGTCCCTGCCCTGAGTCCTCCTGCCCTTCTCTCCCCACCCTGCAGGGCTGGCAGCAGCCCTGTGGCTCTTGCATTTGCCCCTCCGTGCCTCAGCTTGTGAGCCATTTTCTATGCTGTAGAAAACAAATTACTATTAGCTAAGCAAAATGCCAAATATTTTTAATAATCAAGTCAACTCAATCGCCAGTAATCAGGCTGCAGAGCTGCCTGAACTTCAGCTCAACCCTGGTGCCTTCATCCTTCAGCTCATGACCTTTCTGTGGCATTATCTCAAACCTAAATTGGACTGAACAAGTTCTGAAGCCTCGGTGTGACCCACGCTTCCTGAAGAATTCCCTCTGCTCTCCCAAGCCTTTGCATTACTTTACATGAGTGTGTTTAAAGAAAACAGAAGATGTGTAAAAGTCTCATAACACAGTCCTAAACACATTTATTGAACTCTTTTTGGTCTTTCTTTGGCTAATGTAGGATACCTGGCTATTCCTATAGCATCCTCAGGTGCCAGGGCAAGCATCCTAGAGCAAGGGGACAGTGCAGATCCCAACACAGGAGCTCACAGGAGAGAGCAATTGTGAGGGTCTTTAGGGAAATTTTAACATGCTTCAAGTTTAATATTTAATGTTGTATTATAGGTAAAAAGCACACTTACAGTTTGGTTTTTTTTTTTTTACTGGCAGTTATCCTCTAAGAACACAAGCAAACCTTGATTTTACAAATGCCTTACGGGAACATGCAAAACTTTCATAGAACAAGAGGCCAGGAAAGAGAAGGTGAAGTTCTGGGGTTTAAATAGTTTGGGGAAACATTTGGAGATAAAAGCTTTTTTTTTAATATGTAGAAGTCATAAAATGAATGTTGCTGTTAAAAAGCACTTTTTTTTTTTTTTTAACCTTAAAAATGACTTTTCCAAGTTACTGGCACTTACAGTCCTTGGTAGTTTGCCGTTATGTTTTACTTCTGTGAAATGACTCAAACCACACACAGCACCACTGCAGCAGAACAAGAACAACGATGCTCACCAAGCTTTTTTTATATACTGATTAATATTAAAAGGAAAACCTCAAACTTACCAGCACAGCCCAGAAAAACATCACCCATGTTGCTGTGGTGCCTCCTCCCCATGCTAAATATGACTAAGTGGGAGAACGCCTGCTACAGCACGAAGGGATCAATTGCTTGAACAAGCTTTTAATTTTTCCAGTGTTGCAAGATTTTCTGAATCCAGGATGCCAATTATAAACATCAGCTCCCTTATCCAAGATGCTACAGCACAAATCCACTTTTACATCACTATGCCAGGCCCTGATCTCCACAGAGGCAAACCTGCCCTCCCCCTGCTTAAAACCAAGATGTTCAGTTGGAAATAAGGAGATTTAACAAAATACAAGTGACATTATTTATTATTTTGTCTTTGGGGGCTTTGTGCTTTCTAGTTTTTAGATTTAATTTCCATGCCTTTTCTAGCTTTCCCGTATATCCTGGCAGGGATCCTGTATATCCGTGCGAACGGGTTCAGCTGGAGCTGAGAAATCATCAGTTTTGGTTTTGTGCCGAACCTGTGCCCTGGTGACGTTCCTGGTGGCCTTGGGGGAAACAGCCCCTACAAGAAGGATTTGCTTGGAGCATCAGCACCCCATACAAGAGGTTGCCCTATCCAAACCCCACTGTGCACATGCAGAGGCACCCAGACATTTCTGTATCCAACCAGGAACACCCAGGTGCCTGTGGGTTTACTGTGACCCTGACTGCCCTCCACAGATAAAAACAAGCCATATAACATCCTTGAGAGCTGGTGACTTTTCTCTCAGGCGTTTGTTTTCGGAAGGTGCCCGCTCTCACGTGTTTTCCTGCTGTGATCTCGCAGATGTAATTACGAAAACAGGGGGTTGCTCAATCAGCCCTTCTGCCGCCCCCGAGCCCTGTACGGGCCTGAGCACAGCTCAGCCAGGCCAGGCTGGGGAGCTCTGCCCGGGCTTGCCTGCCAGGAGCTGTGTCACTGCCCCTCTTGCACATCTGCCAGCACAGGAAGGATCCTGACCACGACCCGCTGCTGCTCAAGCCGCTGCTGGCGTTTTCTGTGACCTTCACTTCTGCTTCGCAGGAGAAAGTGGGTGTCAAAATTGTGCTCTTAAGAAGTCTGGGGCCTCAGCACATTTCTGGAGTGAGCTGAATGACAATAAAAGTGCATTCGGTAAATATAAATGTGGGTATTATGAGAAAAACCTCCCTACACTTCACACCACCCACTCTCGAATTATCAGATTAAATAAAGCTGACGCACAGCAACAAAAGTCAAAGCACGCTCGGCGAAGAGGATCATTTCCTCATTTTACAGAGCTGGGTTTTTCTTTTTTCTCTTGAACATCCATGTTAAAGACACAGCTGAACCACACCTCAGGAAAGGATATATGTTAAGTAGACCGCTATACAATTAAAAACATTATAAAGGAGAGGAAATTCCCCTGCTTGTAGCAAAAGCAGGTGAAATTAAAGCACGGCAGAGTATGTCTTACCTTTCTTTTTGGCTTAACTGATTTCTCGAGATTCCTATACAGAGGGTGAAACTGTGTTTCATATTACAAGGACACAAATGCATTTCTACACCTACAGTAACTTAGACTGCAATGGAGAAAAATCCAAACATTCATTAACAGCTATGCGTTGTCCGGTAGGAAAAGGAGGCGCAGAAGCGCTCGCTCCTCCACGTCGGCTCTTTAGAGGAACGCTGTGGATGACTTTTAGCTCCAGAGGTTACACTCGCTCTCCACTTCTGCACTGTTCTCTCAGAAGCTTGCAAACCATATCCATTTCCCCACCACTTTTGTCACATGCTGGTAAAAATTGATTTTTCCTGCAGCGTGTCAAGGCAGTAGCTGCTTTCCTTTCTTCTCCTGCTTTCTGCATTCCCGTTATTGATGTCAGTGGGAAAGGGCACAGCTCAGAGAATGTGTTTGTTAAATTACTGTTGCGGATCTCAACGGGAGAATGGGATAAGAAGCTTACCTCTTTCCTTCTCTGCGTAATGCCAACATGCTGGCTTTTAAAAAACCTCAGTGAAAAATTTGGTGGATTTTTTTTACCCCCCCACCTCCCCCCCCTCCCCCAAAAAAAAAAAGTTAAGTGAGAAAGAAAGCTAATTCGATTCCTGCATATTTCAAAAAGTCTAATGGTTTTCAGGTAGATCAAGTGCTGGTTCTGTGAATGTCCTCTCCACAAGAAAGAGACTCACTTGACTTGAGCACACGAAGGACCAAAAGTATATTCTGTGTACACCATTTTTCTCCTGCTTCAATCAAACCGGAGAAAAAAAAACAAACCAAGCATCAAGTTCCTTGAAATCTTTCTGCAAACGCAGGTCCTCTCTGCAGCTTGAACGTCAGGCTGGCTCGCCATTGTCAGGGGTTAGGTGGGTTGTAGGAAACTCAATGCACTTATAAAGGTCCCTCTCGGAAGGGGCTACTTCACAGTAAGGTTATGGATTGACCAAGATATACGAGTGCTTTTACCAGTCACTGGCCATCTCCTCTACAACCAGTTCCCTTTCTGACATTGCCCAGCCACGTGGACAACTGAACAACTGGAAACAGCGGACGCCTGTGTTACGAGACGCATTTGCAGCACGACACAATCTCTTAGGACCACCGTAAAACCTCTCCTGCGTCGCCGCGGCTGGACCGACACAGCTCCCCATGCTGTTACTCAGCAATTTCCATCAGACAACCTTGCTTGCACGCAGCTCTTTGTCAGCTCAGAGGTGCCACCTCAGAAACCACCACAGCTGGTCTTCGTCGGTGCAGTCGAGAAGGCGGGTTCGTGTTCTGGAAAAAGCAGCTCTTCTTCAGACAAAGGAGATCCATGGAAAGAGTACACAACAATAGGAATGAGAAATGAAAAGAACGGAAAAAGGGCCAGGAAGGAGCATGGATTCCTTTCAGGTTTTGTTCTCGTCATACATGTCCAAGGCAGGCTCGATGGTTGAGAACTCGCTCTCGTAGACCAGGCTTCGAGGGGACAGAGAGTTACGATGGAAGAAGTGACCGCCTGCAAGAGGTAGAACAAAACCACGTTAGGAACACACACAAACAACATAAGAACTGAGTAGAGCATCCTCATACCCGGGTGCTGGCTGCAAACACAGTACACAAGGAAAAAATAGCCACCCTTTAATGCAAACCAGTAACAACCATATAAAATATTTCACCTCTGTTCACCTGCTCCCCTGACAATTCAAAGCAAGCGCTTTCCATATGCATGAACAGGCCCACCTCAAATGACTCCTTCAGATAAAACGGGTCAAGTCTGAGCAAGGCTGGGGCAAGCTGGAGTTTTGCACTTGGTGCTGGCTGTTGATTTACAGCCTTGCAAAGCAGGGATGTGCTTCCTTGGGAAACCCAGAAACCTTTGGTTGGCACCAGAGCGCTGTGCACCAGCACAGAGTGCTCCAGCACGGGGTCGAAAGGAACGGGCAGGCTGGGAGAGGGGCTCCCCAAGGATCATCCCATCGGTGCTGCTGAAAGCCTGACCTCCTCCAGAGCTCAGCAACCTTCATCCACCCGACTCATCTTCTAGAAAAAGGCACCTACGTATTTCCTTGCATGTAACCAAAAGAAGACCTAACCCTCTTCTCCAGCATTGGTGATACCCAAACCAAGCACCAAGCAGCTGTTGATAAAGTGGGGAATGGAATTCCATTTTTTTTCCTCAGCGGCCTGGAGTTGCCGTGGCTCTCTGAGCCCACAGGTGTGTTTTGCAAGGAGCCCAGCCCTCCTGCTACACAGATGGTTCTCTTCAGAGAGCATCTATCAGATCAGGCCCTTGGCCAAAGCATTTCATTACCTGGCTTCTCGATCCCAGCGGGGGAATAGCTGGGAGCTGCTTAGATTACAAGACACCAGGCAGCTACATGAGCCAAACTGGAGGCAACTGAAAAGCTTCCAAGCTCATCAAGAAGGCACCCGGCAAACCAAGGTGCCTCCAGTTCCAGGCATCAGTGAGGCAAGGTGCTTAGGGGATTGCAGCTTTAGCCCTGGCGGATTTTAGGAGCTTAAATCCCCTTTTCTTTGCCAAATTTTGAGCTCAGCCTACGCCATTCTGAAAACAAAGAGCTTACAGAAGATATAAGAAAATAAGAGTTCAGCTGTTACTGTCCAAAACACCTTTTCTCCTTCCCCACATTCCCTAAGGACACAGATTCAAAAAACCCAAAAAGTAAGTCCTTATTATGATTAAAAAAGAAAACCTAGAGTTATAACCAAATGTGTGTGATTGTGTAAGAGCAAAAGATGAACTTTGCACTTATCAAAGCAGAGGTCTCACAGCAGCACTGGCTGGAAGAGCCAGGGACTCTGTAAATGGGCTCCATGAAAACTGCAGCATGCTGTGCCAGCGAGCTGCCATCTGGGTCTGCAGCAAACTCTATCCTGAGCCGCATAGAGATTGTGTGCCCAGGTCAAATCCTTGCAAAAAACATCAGGAAATTGGAGCTGGGCAACAGATCTGCTGCTCTTTTACCACCAAAAGCCAGTACACACACTCACTCCACCATTCATGAGGACAAGTTCACCTAAGCATATTAATTTATTTCTGATCTCATTGTTAACTGAAACAAGAGTAAAATTAGTAGTTACACTGCATAGGACTGAATTGTTCACTCTGACGGGAGCACATATCCAGGTTTCAAATAAATAAACAAACAAATAAATAAGTAAATGAAGGTTGAGTGTTTGAGGGAACATAAACTTGGAACAATGACTTCCAGATGATCATAGTCTGTCTCCAGCAATTGCACGTGATGATCTTGGTGGTCTTTTTCAACCTCAGTGATTCTATAATTCAAAATAAAAAACAAACCTGCTTTGAAATTATACCAGATAAAACTGACTTCAAGATTGTGTTATGGGTCAGGATGATTTAATTTTTGGTGAGTGAGTCTCAGCTTGCAGTTGAAATAAGCCTTGGATATTGGATGTTTCATCTCCCTTTCCTCCACCTGCTGCAATGCTACACACAACCCATCCTCAAGCAAACCAGAGGGGTTTCTAAAAGCTTGGTGTTGCTTTTGTTTTTATTACACAGAAATCAAACACAGGTTTGGAAGCAGACAGCCGTCATCTCCTCTGTGCACCCAGACTTCCACTCCAGCAGACTTGAGGGAGAGATTTAATCAACAGGCAGAAAAGGTCATCTGACAACAAATATTTTATATCATTCTGGAAATAGGCAGTGTATATCCAACCCCTCTGAAATTCTTTGCTGTAATGTCTTTTGTCCTTGGCAGAAGAAATGGAAGCCACCCCCTCCCAGGGAGGCTGCATGTTTCCACACAGATAGACATCTCTTGGCTTCCATACCACTTCGGGGACACATTGCTCCTTCTTTTCCTAAATGCTTCCTCTCCCATCCAGTGCAGCCCGCCCAGGGCTGAGGATCCAGCTGCTGCCTCCCTGTTTTCCAGCACTCAATCTTCAGGTGTTCCATTAACCAGGTCGGGACCGTTGCCCACAGCCCACGGTTGGAGCAGCAGAGTCAGCAGGGCACCGTGACCCAGCCACGCTCCTCTTAATGCAGAAAATTGCTACTGTTTGTTTAAAAACGTGGCATCCGTCCAGCTGATAAATTTACCGAATAATGTATTTTAAGGACAAGTACAAACATCCGCAGTTCCAAATTCAGCTCATGAGTCTGTTCTTCCTATTTTGCACTTACCAAGAAAGATCAACATTTACCCCTTAGGTATGGAAAACAAATGGGAAGGCTGCATGCAGTTTTAATACACAAAAATGAATCCTTCAGTGCTCTTTGCCACTATTCTTCATTATATACTTTAAAAGAACTTTTCCTATAACTTGTGTTGAGCCTGAAAATAATCACATTATCCTGGAATTGACCTTTATACCTATCAAAGGATGCCACAGAACTGGGCACAACACCAAGGCCAAAAATTCAGGAGACACAGCACTGCAGGTGCATCAGGCTTAAGTATCACCTGGTGTTCCCTTTCCATCTCAAAGTATTTTAATGCCCTTACTCATTAATCAGGGCCATCTTCTGCCACAAGCTGCAGTCCCTCCACAGCTCCTCTGGCGTGATGGCTTCTTACTGCGGGAATCTGATCAGAGCACTCCCTCTCTCAGACAATCTGTTTCAAACACCCTCTCAGCTGAGGAACAACAGAGTGGGATTATTCATAAAGCAGCGTTTCCTTGCAGCCAGCTTATCAGGAAAGCTGTGACATGGTTGCCATCGTGGAGACATGGTGGGATGACTGGCACAACTGGAGCGCTGCCATGGATGGCTGAAAGCTCTTCAGAAGGGATAGGGAAGGAGAGGCACTGGGGTAGCCCTGTGCTTTAGGGATTTGATTGTCGGGAGTTCAATGATGCTGATGGTGGGGGTGGAGTGTTTATGGGTAAGAACAGGGGAAAGGCCAGCAGGGCAGATGGAAATGGCTGGTGACCTGCAAACACCACTCAGGCACGCACAAGTCTATGGGGCCAGATGGGATCCACCCAAGGGCACTGAGGGATCTGGTGGAAGTGCTCACTGAGTCGCTTTCCATCATTTACCAGCAGTCTCAGTGAACTGGGGAGGTCCCAGCTGACTGGAGGTTTAGCAAAAAACTCCTCTACATGAAGGGCTGGAAGAGAGATCTGGGGAACTACAGCCTGACCTTGGTGCCAGGGAAGGTCATGGGGCAGATCACGCTGAGTGTGATCACACAGCACATACAGGGCAACCAGGGGCTCAGGCACAGCCAGGACAGGTTTAGGAAAGGCAGGTCCTGATTAACCTGGTCTGCTTCTACAGCAAGGTGACCAGTTCAGTGGATGAGGGGAGGGCTGTGGATATGTCTACCTGTGCTTTGGTAAAGCCTTTGACACTGTCCATGAGAAACTGGCTGCTCGTGGCTTGGACAAGTACACCCTTCACTGGGTTAAGAACTGGCTGGATGATCTGGGCCCAGAGAGTGGTGGGGAATGGTTTTAAACCTGGTTGGTAACTGGTCACTGGCGTTCCCCAGGAGTCAGTCCTGGGCCAGTCCTGTTCAATGTCTTTACGGCTGATCTGGATGAGGTGATCAAGTGCACCCTCAGTACATCTGCAGGTGACACCAGGGAGGATGTGAGTGCTGGTCTGCTGGAGGGCAGGAAGGCTCCACACAGGGATCTGGACAGGCTGGATCGAGGCATTTAAAGGACATGTTTAGTGGTGGGTTTGGCATTGCTGGCTTAATGGCTGTACTTATTCACCTTAGAGGGCTTTTCCAACCTAAGTGATTCTATGAAAAACTTTGGGAATTTCCTTCTTGTGCCTATCCAGAGTAAAAAAAAAAAAATTGAGTCCATCTTTGAACATATTTATTTCATTAACAGATAGTCATAGCTCACCTGACCTAGAAGTAACCTAGCAGAAATTGTCTATGTTTGTTGAGACAATTGTTAGAGGCTCAAAGAAAAAAAAAATTAGGAAAGATGGTGCTGAGTTATTTAAATCCTCTATGGAGGGAGATTCACTAAAAAGCCCTGTCAGCCTTTTCATTCCAAATATCACTCAACTTCTCCTTCTGCTGCTGTTCTGTAGAAGAATCAAGAACTGTTTTGGTGCCTTTTGCATCTGGGTCATGACTCTGCTCAGGCTGTCTCTGCACATCTTTCCCAACAGCACTAAATAGCACTTAAGGAATTTTGTTTCAGGAGACAAGCACAAACTTATCAGTTCTACTATTGCTGTTGAGAGATGGGTGAACAAAACATATATCATAGCCCATACCCTAAATCATGCTCTAACCACATTCCTCCATTTTTGGCAACAACACTCAGCTGACACACACTGTACTTTAAAAGCAGACAGTCCTCAGACACAGTACGTTTGAGGCTTTTTTCTTTCCATGAGGAAGTCCAGTGGGGTTTTCCAGTCTTTCAAAAGACACTTACTGCTCTATTGATTGTTTTCATATTTCTTTCAGAATTTCACAAGGACACACTGAAGAAGAATTCTATTAAATGCACTGAGGCTATCACACATTTCATTTCTTATTATAAAAGCTGCCTTCTCAGCTGAAGTCTGATGGACAAATAAAAATTAAGAAACAATTTTAATGCAGCGTCTGGCCGTGTTCCTAACTTCTAAAAGTGCCTATACATAAAAATAAAATTAAATTAAATCCCCTAGTTCCCAGTACATAAAAAAATTAAATCTCACAGTAAAATTGCTTCTCTCTGTTCATTTAATTAATTTAGAAAGCATTCTGTTTCGAACGTCTACATCTTGATCCCAGAACAACAAAACAACCAAACACAGAGTAGGCTTTAACTTCTGTCAATTATTTTTTCCTTCCTGACTTGTTACCTTCATCTACCCATCTGATTAACTCAAGCATTAGCATTTGGCTGGGACTCAGCCCCGCATGTTTTAACTGACTGTTGTGAAATTACTCACACTCTGCTTGCATAAGTCAACTGGCATGAACAGCCGGAGCGAGGACAGTAAGGAGAGATGTTTTCCCTCTGCCTCCTCCCCAGTAAAGAAGCCACAGCAAGAAGGGACACGTTTGCACAGAGTTTCTACATCAAAGAGCATTATCAGTGATCTGATTTTGAAGCAAAACTAACCCCTGTCTAGCCCTGAAAGGAGGTTTCACATGAGACAGTGGGGGAAACACAAAGTTTCCACTTGTTATTAGGAAGGAAGAAGCGGTTTAGAGCAGCTTCACTTGTATCAAAGAGAAGGGTGGGGTGAAAGGAGAAGACAGAAAAGGTTTGTGATTCGTATTTTGAGACAAGAGCATTGCAAACCTTCAGCAATGTCTGACCTCAAGGCAAAAATTATACTGCCGTGCTCCCAGTGCGACACAGGAGCATTACAGGAGGGGAAGCTGAGAAAATGTTCTTATTTCAAATTAATTCTCAGCTGGAGTCAAGGTAAGTCTGTTATATGGACTTAGACAAGAATGCTTGGCCCAGCCTTTTTCGCCCTATAAAGTTGGTATGGAATGATTGCTACTAGTGCTTGTTAGTCACTTCTGTGCTGGGTGGCATCATAACGACGGCACTGCACGAGATTTCCACTCCTGTGTCCCAAAACAAGCGGAGAACAATAGAGAACTGCAAAGACGAAATCATTCAACGGAAATAAAGCACCTCGCAAAATTTACAAAATGCTCTCAGACTCGAGTACTAACACAGAAAGCCCAAGAAAAATGAAATTCTCACAGAGTAAGATTTCATAATTAAAGTTGTTTAGGTTGGTTTTTTTTTTTTTTTTATTTCTTCACTTTTTCCTTAATACAAAGCTTTGGCATCAGCAAATTTTATGAAAAAATAGAATGTACTAAATAATTGCTTGTGCTGCATGATCGATAAATGATGCATAAAAATAGGTGTCTCTCTCCGAGGCAATCGGCCGGAAAGCGTTTCTTCAATACCATTCTGCTCTGCGGGGCAGAAAAAAAAAAGGGAACAAAATATTTATGTTAAAGTTAATACTGCCAACACTAAAAAAAAAAATATAATAAAATAAAATAAAAAATAATCCCGTAAAAGTAAGCTAGTGAAAAGTGACTAATTATACAAGGCCAGAGCATTAGGAGAGGTCCGGATTTGTCACGTCATTCTTACAGGACAGCCAGAGGTCTGAGCACTTCTGAGCTTTCGAGGACACTTCATGTGCTACTGAAAACTTTCTCTAAGTGGTGCTATCCAGCAGCTGGGCTTTTTGGGCTGAAACCCACAGTTATACAGTAATTTTTGACTGTTCCCTAAGCAGGAAGGCAAAATGTGCTTCTTCTGTTCCTTTCAAACACTGCCTAAATCTTCTAACAGCAATACTGAAAGGATATTTTGAGACCAAGAGAAAGCAGCTGGTTCCATATTTTCTTATTACTGAGACAATGTTTACTTTTATCACAACTATTAAAAAAAGTACATGTGTGTATATATACATATACACAAAGTTAAATATGTATATATTCACAACTCCAGAACTACTGCCCTAAATAAATATCTTTAAGCTGAGGGAAGGACATAGAAAAAAAAAGGAACAGGATATGGGTTTAGATGAGTTTTAAAGGAGAATATTTGGCACCTTTTACTTGCATCAGCATATTATGTGACCTCATTCTTGCTACTGCTGTTTTCTGATAAGAACTCCTCTGCTTCCTCTTGAAACACTACCATAACAAAGGCAGGGCACACCAGCATTGCTTTGTATATGGAGAGCAGCATAAAAAGCAGATATGCTGTTATGACATTTAATAGAAATTGCAGGGAGAAGGAGCTACCATATATCTGGCACGATATTCAGCACAGGAAATGCTTTGTCTGGCACTGGGGAACACAAGGTGTCAATGAAACAATAAATCTAAGCATTAGTGTCATTTTAAACTGTCTAAAATGAGTAGCTGAACACAGCAGCACTTGTGGAGGCTGCTCAGATCCCGAAGGATTCAGATGAAGCTGAGCTGAGGTTAAAGGCTACAGCAAGGTACCTCAATTACCCAAATAAGTGATTTTTGACAGCTCTGGTTTCTGTGGTTGTGAGTTTTCTTAAATCTGCCTCAAGTACACACTTGTATGAGCTCACATTTCAATTCCCATCACTCGGGAAAGGAGCTCTCCTTGTATCAGCACACCCTTTGTAGCGAGGGAACAGCACTGTGAAAACACTTTGCTGGAGGCTCAAGCTCCCTGTCAGTGTGAAGCAGCTTGTCCTTCCAGTACAAACAGTCCCAGATCCCACTGAGCAAAAGGCAACAAAGAGTTGCAAGGCAAGGCAGGAATGCAGCTGCTATCGGTGCCCACATCTGGATGACACCACACGGGCTGCAGCTCCTCCTCCTTCCTCATGACGTGCAAGTGCCAGGAAATGCAGACATTCCCGTTTTACAGCTCCTCTTGCTCCATGCTTTCCCAAACTAACTCTTCTGGGAAGATGAACTATGTTCAGCTGCAGCTTTGTTGCCAAGTTGCTGATTGAGGGATGCAATTTCAAGATTTTGACAAATCGGGAAAAAAATAAAATAATCGGGAGACTTGATTGGGCTGTTTGAAGTTCTAAGACTATTCTTCATGAAGGCCTTCTGGAATCAGCATGTGAAAAAAGGAGGAAAGGAAGATTTGCAACTTAGTGGTAATCCAAGATACCTGATGACCAATGCTATGGTCCCTCCTGAAGATGATCAGCTTGAGACTGTCTAAAATTTTAAACTGAAGACTATCAGACATGTTTACATCTTATTGAGGACACCTTATACTTTCCAAATGGCAACAAAAGTAAAAAAAAACCTCCTTCTCTCTCTTATCTCAAGGAAAAAAATAAAAGAAGAAAATTATCTTTTTAAAGCTACATTTCCAGGCTGCACAGAGACTGCCTTTGACTCTCACCCCACTTCTGGTAGAGAGATCAACACATTAATGGAAACTCAGCTGCGTCAAGATGTTCAGAGATATAGAAAGATGTTGACACTTTGCCTTCCCAAGTAAATAAATAAATAATGATTAAACATATATCGTGAGCCCAGATATTCCCTACATCTACATGAGAATAACTAGATGTACCTAGATAATTGATCTGCAGAACAGATTTATACTTGCCCACACAGAACTATAAAAAAGAGACTGAAAGTCATGTGCTAGGGTAACTTCTTGTCCAGCTTGTCTGAAGGGAGGCTGGGGGTTTCTATATAAATTAAGAAAGCATGGAAGCAAGTATTTCTTCATTTAAGAGAGAAGAAACAGTACTGCATTCATTGTTTTCATCTCTCCCTCTTCTAAGAGCCAAAAGGTAGTTTTCTGTTTAAACACCTTGTTTTTTCTTAGCTGAAAGTATGCCAACTAGGAATCCAGATTTATTCTTTTTAATATGAATGTGACTATAAAATCGAGGTAAAAATTTTCAAAGGTAACTGCTGGCAGTTTTTTTGGCTCTGCCAGGTGCCTTTTGAACGTGGGAATTCAACAGCAGAAATCTAATGTTTACCTAGACCACTGATCAAAAACTGAACATAAAATATTCTCTATTTCCCCCGGTTTCATGTCTCCACTTAGCAAGGATATTTTCTCAGACAATCCAGCTAAATATAAATTAAGAGGGCCTCTGGATGTTACCCTTAAACCTACAGTTAACAGACACACTTGCATTTGAGAAAAGCAGGAAAGGAATTTGATTCCTTGACAGCTGGGTTTTCCCCCTTCTCTATTCTCTTGGTATCTATTCCCAATGCTGTCCATGACACACACCCACGAGAAAATACATACAAACATCTGAATATTTACTTACTCATTAGCATTCAAGCTAGCTGTGGCTTTGATGATCATGTAGCAGAGTGTAAGGGCACTGAGGAGGCCAAAACTGGCAATAATAAACCATTCTTCTGTTGACAAAGGAAAGGGAGGAAATCACTCGTGGGAGAAGGCTCATGTCAAAGCGATGCCAACATTCCCCTCAAACACCACTGGCGGAAGGCAAGAGGCTTCTATGCCATGACTGGCCCCAGGAGGTGAAGCAGAAGGAGGTTAAGCCACAGAGTTACTGACTGGAGAAGGCTAGCAAAGAAGAAGTGGAGAGAGGTGCGGAAAAAAAGCATGGCACAACAATATTTCCTGGCTGAGAGAGCCCAAGGGTTAGTGACAAAGAAAGGTTACTCAACAACGTAAAGTGAAATGCAGGATCAAGGGAACACGTAATAAAAACTCTGTCCACCTCCCCCAAAGTCAGAAAGACTGTCAGGGTTGGGTTAGATTTGGTGAGACATGGCTCTTCATGTAAGTACACCCAATGTACTGTCACACTTCAATGGTGTCTTCACCCCCTCCCTCCTGAACAAATGTTACAGCATTACTTAAAACCCAACAAAAACCAGGGTAGTTTGCCCAGTGGTAAAACATAACTAGTTTTCTATTTAATAGGCAGAAATACACATGGAAAACAACTTCCAACATTAGTGTAGACATACAGACCCATTAAAAAAAGAAAACATAGTATAAAGAAGGCTTTTATAAAAAATGTTCACTATTCAAAGTTGTCCCTCCTCAAAATCAATTTGGCATATAGTAACAGTTTGGAATACAAGCATTGTTGTTGAATATGGCTTTTGGTTTAACTCTCATGCATCAAAGAATGCATGTGTCATCCATAAAACCCAAACATTTCAACAGCCCTTTCTAAAGCTTTATTTTATAAACACTGTCAGAATGAACTGTTGCTGATTATTTCTTGTTTTACCCTGGCATCCCATCTGTGCACGAGCAGCACTACAGTTGGGAACAGACAGTAAAAACACCTTCTGTAAAACCAATTAGTGAAAAGTGAAAACTACAGAGGTTTCCCACCCGTGACAAGGGAGCAGCACAGCAACAGATCCGCCCTCGTTCAACAGAGCTGGGTGTAAGGTGAACCAAAGGTCAAACACTGGATGGCAAAGCGACTTAGTGGCTTTGTAGAGAATCTAGACTTCGTATGTGGATTTCCCCTTCTCAGATCAGGACATTTCTAGATACAAACTATGTTTTTCATACAACGAGATTTTTTTAAATGAGACATTTACTCTGCTACAGCACCTAAAGAAACACCCAAATGGACTGCATCAGTTACAACAGTGTCACTAAGTTCAAAATATAGATCATAGATGCACATAAACAAAATACAAGGAGAAAATTAGACTGTTGTACATGTGCATGGATTCTATTTTTGCAGTTCAGCCAGCAAAACAACCATTCATGCATCAAGTTGAGACTGTACAGCATATGGAAAAATGATGCAGTTCTACACACACTGTATTCATTACAGTGCTATTGCACATTAAAAACCCTAGGAGAAATCCAGTGAGTGGAAATTTTCCATGCTGCTCTTATGGATAAGAGCTTGCAAGCAGCGCAGGAACAGTTTTCTGATGTTATAAAACACTTGGACAATACTCAAATATTGGTACATCAAATGCTTTTTTTAATTCACAAATTTTGTAAGAAAAAACACCTGCTAAGTGACGTCAAAGTTCCAGTAGCAACGTTCTCAGGGGAAAAAATGTCTGCAGAAATAGTAATCAGCTAAAATACTTCTATTTGTGTAAATTATTGCATGTAATGTATTCCGAAAGGATAAATAATGGTTTTGGCAACCCAGACTACTGTCCCGGTTACCAAATTCAGGAAGGTCATTTCGGTGCCATTTTAGTTCACCCAGGGTTCTCTGCATGCAGATCTAAATGGATATACCATTAATAATGGAAGTGTTGGCACTGTCTTACCCAGAGTTATTGGTTTCAGCAAGGAGCATATGCCTCTCGCAGAGACACTGAGGTCACCTTTGTCCCCGCGGGGACATCCATCACCGCGGCCCCGCAGCGCAGAGCTACGGGGAGCCACGGAAGGGCATGAGAGCCAGAGGGAACTTACTTGTCACTGCGATGTTGATCTCTCCTGACCTCGGTGTCAGCTCTCCGTCCTGTGGCAGCTGGGACATGCCAGAGGTGCGCAGGGGCTCCAGGCTGAGGGAGCTGTCGGTGGCGAAGTCACCGAGCGCCGAGCGCCGGCTGGCCGGCTGCCCCCGGGTGAGCCTCTCCATGTCAAAGGCTACGTTGTCCGTGCATGGCACGTTTGGCTGGGGGGAAAAACCCGACCCCACATTACCACGGGGAACATTCTGCACTCGGTAAACTTATAAATTAAGCAGAACCACACACACATACACATGCTTTTTGTCCCTGAGGTCACACGGGAGAGAAACGCGAGTTAACAAGTTCCACCTTAAAGAGGTGGAGGAAGAAGAAGAAGAAAAAAAGGATTAAGATTCAAGGAAGGGACTCAAAAGGATTAAGATTCAAGGAAGGGACTCAAACACACTCGTCTCACAGCCTGTGCCTGTCTGGTTTACCACAATGAGCCACGGCAACATATTCTGAATTCTATCGTATCCTCTTCTAAAAACCCAGGTATGGCATTAATTGCACAAACAGATCATCCACAACGTAAGTGCAACTATTTCTTTGAAATTTGTGACTTTGGAAATTGGCAACTGACACAGCCAAAAATGGAGGCCTGATTATTCTCACTGGCTTGATTCAAAAGCCACGTTAGACAGTCTCTCCATATGTTTTTCTCTTCTTTCTGAAAAGAGCATCACTCCAGCTTGAGGATTTTTTTCTCATACAGGAAAGATTAAAAAAATCCTCTTTGAGGTTCTTCACTGCTATTCCTTTATGAACTGGTCAACAAAAGCAGTCCTCAGGGATCCCAGAAGCCATGAACTGCTTGAGGAAAACTCATTGGCCTCACCTAAGGCACGGCTTTTAATGTGCAAACAAATTTAGGAGTGCCTACAGCAGATCACAAAACCAAGAGATTTACAGAGCAAATTTAACAAGGAAGGGCTGAAAGGAGTTGAGAAAAGGGAAGATTATAGAGAAACTAGTAGAGGTCTGGTAGATAAGAAATTGTTCTAAATACAAATACAACAATATATTCTCAACGAGCAACAAAGGAAAGGAAGAACAAGAACAAATAAGTAAAAAAATCCAAACACCTTCTGAGTAAGGATGCTGTAACACCCTTCCCTCTCTCTCCCCTACAATTATTCCTCCTGCTCTGGGTCTCAGACATGGGAGGAAGAAGAGCTAGCAACAGATCCACTTACCACAATTCCCAGTGCCTTCAAAATGTTCAGTTTACACATTGGACATGTACAGTGCTCACTGAGCCATGGATCCACACAGACTTTGTGGAACACGTGCCTAGAAGAACAGAGAGGGCACATATGTTTGCAAACAATTCTATTTTATACAATGAGAACTATTTCAACAAAATCTTGGATAATTGTTTTTCTAAATAAGGCAGCAGAGTAAATTTTAGAATCATCAATATTCTGTGCTGACTGCAATAATTAAAAAAAAAAAAACAAATAAAAAACTCTTGCTTGCTTTCACCACCCTTTACTAATGGTTCAACCAGGAAGAAACACTTTAAAGCAAGATTTTTACAATTATTTTTCACCTTTTTGTTGTGGATATGAGTATGCACGTAGGCAGAATAATTAGGGTCATACCACTTCCAAAACAATCTAGTGTAAAGTCTTGTCTCAGTTTTGATGTAGAACCTGGCCATAAATTGGGTAGGAAGAACATAAATCCACTAGCAGTCAATTTTATTCACAAGTCAGTGGAACCAATCCAAACATGCTTGTGTTTGACTTTGAAAGGGCTTTTATAATTATCACATCAAAGTAAAAAGAAGGCTTTTCCTGCAATCAGTATTTCTTGATATCAAGAAGGAAAACATGTCCATCATCATATCATAGCCATTAAAAAAAAAAGGAATAGTCTTTCAAAGATGGAAAGGCAAACAGGGCCTGGTACTTGCACAGGAGGGAACTGCAACAGACAACAAGTCTGACTTGCCATCTCCACTGCATCCAAAATCTCAGTTACATACCTGAATACGAATGTAACAGTGTTGGGATTGATAGAAACCAATGTAACAAGGAAGGGCTATGCAGAGACCAAAACAACACATCTAAATTAAAGGAAGTAAAGGAAATGCCCTCCTAGTTTTTCAGAAGGCAAAGAACTTCTCAGAGCACATTCATGGCAGAAGTGGGTATTACCAGACTTTCTCCACAATAAAGCTTTAGCAAATGCTCATAATAACCTAGTTTGACTCACTGCCTGTGATAATTCCTATGATCAGAGCCCAGATCTTTCATTTCCAGTGACACTGACTGCAGAGCAAGAAGCCAGTCGGAGCAGGCACACCCGAACACGACAGACTGGTGACCATGACAAAGATCAGCAATTACAGGGGCTGCTTAGTCAGCGAAGGGCTGTGCTCTGGAACCAGCAGGCGAGGGGGCAGGGGCAGAACAAGGAGTTCTTGCCATCTATTTGAGGCATGTAAGAGGTCAGGAGTGCCCCCAAGGCAGCATAAAGTTGATAAACCCTCTGCCCCCTCCTTTCTCGGGTTATGCTTTGCTGCTCTTGGGCCTCAGGAAGCTCGTCATGGTGTCTGGAACCTCTCTGCTCCCCACCCCTTGGGATTTTAAAAGCAGAGACCAAATGAGGCATGTTACCAGTTAATTCTCTTTTAAATCTCTGGAAAGAGACCCAAGAGAAAAAAACTGAAACTGTTAACAAACATGGAAAAAGACAGTCTGTGATTATGTTCTGTCTATGGCTACTCAGACTAATGGAGGGACTAAAGAACATGAACATTATTAGGTTCCAGGCAGCTACAGCTGTATGTCCTACTTGTACTAAGAAAAGATGCATAGATTTTGAGGGCAAAATAGTCAACAGAAGATGGACAGGGAGCAAAAGAACTTTGCTTATCTGTATCTCAGATAATGCAGGAATAGAAACTTCAGGAATATCTCAGCTAGTCCCTTGGCTGGCCTGTGTCCTCTAGCAAGATGGAAATCATAAAATCCAGGATATGTACAGTGCCTTCTGTTCAAGCAATTACCCAAAAGAGACTCACTTCTATTATTATTAAATCTTATTGCATTCCCTTTATTACTTGCAAAACTACAGGAAACAATGTCTAGAAACCCTGGGTGACAGAAAATGGCTTGAAACCTTCTGAAACATATAGAGATGCTATTTTTCTGTGTTTGGAAAATTATGACTTTTATTTGCTTATGTTTTCTTTTAAGTCTCTGGAGTCTGTTTTTTAAAGCAGAACAGACCTGAAAATCTAATATTTTGGAAAAGAGCAGACATCAAGACTCCACAGAAGTATGAAAACAGCTTTATTATATCATTATCAGCTAATCAGTGCTGTAGAAGCACTCAGATCAAGTGAAGCAGGCAACTGATAGTGATGCCAACATGCATGCATCCACTAAATATGAGTTATTTTAAAAAGTCATTAGCAGTTTGAGATATATATATACACACACAGCTCAATTGTTTTTGTGACCTCCTAATTCTTTGCTTTTAGTCCCTAATTCTTCAAGGATGTTTATTAATGTGTTTCAAAGAAGCGCAGTTCTCCAAAGGTTATTGATTTAGATGAACATGGCTCTGCCTACTACTTACACAGTTTTTCTACTCTTTAAAAAGTTTGCTGATAGCATCACTGTGGCTCAGGCTCTGTCTGGATTTCTCTGTTTGCAAGAGTTAAAAAGCAGCTCTACAAGCAATGAAGACAGTAAACAAGAATTATCTTAAAATCTCAGCCAGACAAAGTAAGCCCTTGCAATTTCTGCTATCATAAACCTCCGCCTTCCTATTTCTGTCATTTGTTTTCCAAGACCATAAATCTGAGGAGTTCCTAGCGAGCTGCTCTTGGTCACAGCAGCTGATGATGTTCCCTCAGGAGCTGCACACTGGGGAGTGGAGTGTGACACAGCTTCAGCTGCTTCTCCAGCCCCAGGGCTGAAGGGAGCTCAGCCAGCAGCCAGGCTGGGAGCACTGACGGAGTCTCCCGTGCGGGCAGGACTCCAGACAGGTGACCTGCAGGTATTTTTCCACTCTGTCAGCACACCCAATCCAATTGCCCTCCAGCTTGTAACGAACACTGTTAACGACGACTCTTGTACAACAGGGCTCCTTTGCAGCGCTTCCCAGGGAAAAAAGTGAGCTGGGAAAGCTCTTTTGGTTGTGTAAGGACTCCAAATTTGCATGTCACATCAGGACAAGGGTTCAAATGGCTGCTGTTTCCCAAAAGGTCACTACACCTCTTGGCCCTCAGTGCAGCATCCCACTGAAGGGACCTTTGCTGCTGCAAAGTGGCATCTTTGGCTACTACTCCCCTCATCCTGGGGGTCCAAACCTCACAGCAGGGAACATACAGCTCCAGGACAGGAACACAGTTGAGGAGGGATGCCTGGCCTGCTGCAGAGGGAAAGAAGGTGCCAAGTCTCCCCCTAGGCAGGCAATGCCAGGGTAGAGCTGCCTCCATGCTTCCCACAAATACAGAGTATTGCTGAGAGAGAGACTGTCCTTGCAAGCAGGTAGCAGAGAAAGTGGGGGTTGTGCAGAGGCATTGCAGAAAGCAGAAAGGATGCCATCAAGATACTCTGTTCATTTGGTCTCAAAAAGAAAAAGGCAGCTACTTGCAGCAGCACAGAACCAAACACATGAAAATCTGGCTTAGTCACTTTTGTCACTTTCCTCCTTCTTGCCAAATACGGGAATTAAGAATTTGGCTCAAATCCCATTTATTTTAACATATTCACTACTCCTTTCATTGCTCTCCTGCTTTGTCAATTCCTTCCTTCCCAGGTATCTTTCTGCCCTTTCCAATGTCACACTCTGCTTTTCTCTAACCTGTCACTTTGCTCTCCCCTTCCCTTATCTCTCACTAGTCCTTCACACTACCCCCTCCTGATCACTTTTCACCTAGTGCCTGCTCAGCCCCTGTGTGATGGGAGAATGAAATTATCTGAATAAAGAAAGCTGTCCATGAGGTTTGTATTTTGCTACGTCTGACATTTGTTTCCCCTACTTATTTTTAACTTACACAATGACATTCACAAAAGACACATTCCTCAAGCTTGTAAGCCTAAAAGAGATGGCTGCCTTGTCCCTGTGTGCACTAAAGCCATAGGAATGTCCATAGGCTGCTGGAACTGAACATATTACTCCCTCTGAAGCACAAAATGAACAACTGCAAACAATGCAGTTGAATTCCTACAAATTTCACTTCAGTTTATTTTTAAATGGGTCACAATTTCCCACATTCCACAGAACTTTACATCCCAAATATGGTGTTTCACTACGGAATTTTAGGTGCAACTTGCTCAGCTGCTGGCAGATTTTGCCTGCTGTGTGTCTGCCCAGACCAGACTCCTCTACTGAGGCACAGAGTGACAGACCACACTTAACTGCAGAGAACAATTGTGGTACCAAAGGGAAAGGTTACTTTTAAACTGATGAAAGCAGGAAGGATGTCAGTGGTAGAATCATGTCAGTGATTCCTATTGTCTAATGATTATAGCTTCCTCAACAAGCACAGTAAGAAAAATGTCCAGCCTCTCATTTCTTCCTCTTGGTCGAGTCATTTTCTCCATGGTTTTCTCAGAATTTATTTTTTCATCTGGCTTAAGAGACTCTCTTGTAGTTCTGTTTCATTGTCTGTCTGCTGGTTCGTTTTTTTTCCTAAACTACCACTGCATGTTGCAATAAATTGGAGGGTGAAGTATGAGGAAGTAGAAAAGGATTAAAACTCCAAAACAAGCGTCTCAGGTGCTGAAGATTGAAAAATCTTACACGGAATCTGAAATTTACGGGGCTCATCTCTGCATGCACTGGTTGGCTTTTCATCTACAAATACAAAAATGTCTTGTGGAAAGCATCCATCTCACTGTGTCTAGCCTAGATGGTTTTGCATTCAACTTAAAGCTGAGCTGCAGCACATGATAAGCGAGATTTAAAAAAGGAGTAGAAAGTGAACATAAAAGCTGTCATACAGCCTTTGGCAGGAATGCAACCTGAGCCTTCACTGACCTCACATTCTCGTGAAAAGCAGAACAGAAAGGGATCTACACAAGAGCCTTGATCTCTCCTTTACATGGGAGACTGCAGAGGGGCAGATTGTGCTGAGGTGGCAGCCAGGTGCACCTTCATCCAGCTCCCTGAAGCAGCTGTACCTACCCCTGAGAGCAGGGAGCTTCCTGCCTGCAGGACTGCGGCTCCCCGAAGGTGTCTGAAGGAAAAGGACTTTTTCTTCTTCTTTTTTTTTTTTTTTTTCAACTGAACAAAAAAAATCAATAAACATCTTATTTAAATGGTCTGTATCTTATCAGTGGATACCAGCAACAAACCTCTTGGACAAGGGCAGTTGATTAACTAAGGAAGTTGGCTTTCAATCCCAACTCTGCCTTGTGCTCAGCGGGAGAAGATGATTTTTCTACCAGGGGAAGATTCATTCTCTCTTCAGTGGAAAGGACCTACCCCTGCCCTCTGTTCAGCACCAAGAGAAAGGCACAGAGGAGTGGGACTTGTGAACATTCATTCCACATCACTGAACCTCACAGCACCACCCTGAACTACACAAGTGAAGGTTTCTTAAGAGGCAGTTTAATCAATCAATCATCTAAGTGGCCAAAGTGATCCAAAACTGGTGTGAAGTTTCCAGAAGTTCCTCTTTTAATTTCTAAATAACCTCCTTCGTAACATCAAAGACCTTAACTCACATGTACAAGCTTCACTTGAGATTACAATAAATGATGTAACTCTCTGGAATTACTTATCACTTGGGAGTACATTTGTTAGAGCAAGAGGATGTCATCTTTGAGTAAAAATGACTGGACTGTAAAAACGAAATGTCCACACATCCACATGACCAAAAGCTCCCAAATCCTTACAATCCAAGACCAAGCTCTCCTATTCTCAAATATTTTCATGAGAGTTTCTAAACAATCATTTGTATGGCATATTAAAAAAACAACAATGAAAATCTAATCCAGGTCATTGTTTCCCCCTGTCCAAGAGGTAAAGAGCATAGAGAAAAGCAAATTGAAAACTGAATTGGAATTTTGGCTTCAGAAGTAGAACACACACATATTTTGATCAGTAAGATATAAAATAATAGTTTTCCTTTCATGATGGTAGAAATACCTGAAGCACTGGAAGACAAATATTCCAGCTATTCAGAGCAGCCTGCAGGAGGATTTAGAAGACCAATAATGAGCTCTGATTTGCTGCTGCCTGACTGAAGACTGACTCCAACACATGACTTTGTTGCTTCTAGACTATCATGCAGAACCATTTATATACCAAGCACAGGCCAAATGACTGGATCTTGCTGCACATATACAACATAACTTACATGTGGGTTTTGTGTCTGGAGATAAGGAGAAAGCTTTGCATTTCAGTATACAAGGCAAAGATGTCCTCGGTAATGCTTAAGGCTACCAAAATGTACTGATTCATCAGAATCAATCACCAGGTGGAAAAGTATTTAAAAGCATCTCTCAAAGAGCAAATATCCCAAAACAACTCAAGAATGGAAGTGGAATGGAAACAAACTGAAAACCTGTAAAAACCCGTCAAGAGAATGTCATAAAAGGAGGAGGAAGTTGTTATATTTTAAGAACTAATGCAGAGTAACCAACAAGTACAAATCTTCAGGTACAAGCCAAGATCACACTGCACTGGAGAGACCAAAGACAGATGACAGCACGGAGGTTGACTGATGACAGAGGAGGTATGAAGGTTGCAAAGGCTGCATTCCCATTCCCTACAGTTTGAGGAACCAGCAGCCAATGTTGCACATCTACTGTGCAAAATGCTGCAGCTGTACCTGGGTCATTACACTGAAGTTCTTTGAGTCTGCCCACCACTTGGTCCTTAAACCTGCACCCCCACCTCGCTGCAATCTCAACAGCTCTGCTGCCAATACGCCCAAACTGCCCATCTTCAATATCATTCTGCTTAACGTCCACAGTCAAAGCACCCACCTTCACACCTTCTGGCACCACAGCCTAAAATGAACTGTTATTAGGAGTGGAAACACCCAACAAACGCGTTTGTAAATTACAATGCACCCATTACATGAAAGGAAGCAAAGGAGCACCAAGAGAGAACAGTTTCCAAACAAAGCAACTTTTACTATCTTACTTGCATGGCAAAATGCGAACAACATCGTTCTGCTTGTAACTCTCAATGCAGACAGCACAGTGATCAAAGTCTGGGTCTGTTTCCTAAAATGAATAGAATGAAAATTCAAGTCAAGAGTTGAGCCTGTGACAAATGTCAAAGTAGCTGTGACTGGTAAATGAACTGCGTTGTGCCAAGTGGCTGTTACTAAGATACAAAACCAATGACTGGGTTGTTATATTCCAACATGACTTGAACAAGAAAAGCATCTCATATGTACAAAGCTCTCCCCTCATTTGGAGCTGGTAAATGATCATTTGAAACATAAGCTAAGGGCTAAAATGATTCTAATGTTCAGTGAAATCAATATATAACATACTGGTGATTTTCCTACATTTCCTTTTTTTTCCACTTCCAACTTGGAGCTAAAACTTCCATTTTATTAAGGGTTTTTTGTATGTTTGTTTGCTTTGGCAGGATAAAAATCCTGTGATACACTTTTATAGCCAGAATTAGTACATTTTACTTATTGCAGAGTAGTCCCACATTTGTGTCTGCTGCTTACTGGCAGAATTATCATCATTCTTATCCAGACATGAATATGAGGATCACTGACTGACTGGCTCCTCTCCTCTTTTTTTTTTTTTTCCCCCAGAATTTATGACTTTTTAAAAATTGTATTTTTAAAAATGAGAATTTAAAATTTCAACTGAAAAAGGGATGACTTCATTTGGATGTAGATGTTTGGGTCTGTGACACAAAACAGGCTGTGCCTTCTCTCAGTTCAACTTCATTACACTTCTCAGAGCCAACAAGCCACGAGGAAGACACCAAGCCAGGGACCACAGCAAGACCAAGGCACTCCTGGTCAGCACCACTCAGGGCTGCACAAAGAAAATCCCAGTGGCTGCTTTGAGGAAGGACAGGTTTTTCCCACTCTGTTCACCTGCATGTGCTGTCTGCGCTGCAACCTACATATCACCTGCCACTTTTGAATTGATGTCAAGACAGCAGCATCTTTTAACCCAAAAAAGTTCTCCCTATATATATGTTTTTTTCCACAGCCACAGAAAAGATTTAGTGCAATGGGTTGTGTTGAAATAAAACTACACAGAGAGGGAGGAAGAACAGGAGGACACTTTTTCTGCTTCTCTCTGGAAGCAAATTTTCCTATCACTTCCTAATCTTCCACTGCTGAGAGTGTTCATAAGAAATATAAAAAGGAATCACAATAAAAAGGTCCAAGGAAATAATATTTTAAAAATTAAATCATAGGCAGAATTCCCTTGTTTTTTGAAAATTAAAGATCAAAAATTAAGCAAGACTAAGTGACTATTTTTTTCCTTTCAGAATCAAAGACAAAAGCAGTACTGCTCATAAAAATGGAAAAAGTTTAGGACTTCACACATACATTTTAGTTTGTATACTGTCAAGAAATATTCTTGGAGTAACATTTACTATCTTTAATGAAATATCTGTTTATGCTCCCCTCAGTTTACTGGATATTTGCATTTTACATAAGAGATTCTTTTCTATTATCTGTCTTCTGTATTTATTTTCACTTTATACAACTTACACATGGAATGACTCTAAGCCTACAGAATTCCACACAAACAATCCTAACCCTATATACACTCATGCCAGCACACCCCACCCCCTCCAGCCAGCACACAAACCCACCCTCCGTCCCAGTTGCCAGATGGAGTGCAAGTAGTATTTAGGCACGAGAAACTTATTTGAAATGCCCAAACTTACAGCATACATTGAACACATACTCAGTTATACAAAGTGCTGTGCCACAGGACAAAGTCAGCCCCTGATAAGGAAAGCAAGGTCATAACTCAGAAATAAAGAAAAAGTGAGATTGTTTCCCCAGAAAGAATTAAATATGATGCTCAAGTTTATCACGTTGAAATCTTATTATTATACCTTATCACCTTTCTTTACTGTCCTGGTTGTCAATTTACCAATGGCTTTCTTGGCAGCATCTCCAAGACGACGCTAATAAAATGACAAAGAAGAGAACACAAATTAACCCTGTTAAACAAGCTTCATTAGTGTCCTTTATAATGACTTACTTGGGCTCAGTAATACCATTGCAATACACACTGTGGCAGCAGGCCAGCACAGAAGAAAAAATGCACACACAGCAAAGCACAGAGATTTGTCAAGCAGGAAAAAAACCTCAACAGTTGAATCCCCAAAGGCACTCCACAAGCATGGGCACAAACCTCATGGGCTGTACAGAAGTGACCCAACATTTACGTGCAAAACTAATCAAATCCGGGTTGCAGGATAAAAGCTGGAGGAATGTGCCCTCCTGATGATTTCTGTTATATTCTGCTCACGTTGGGTTTTTATTCAGTGTGCTGTAATATACTGCTTGTTCTCTTAAGCTTGAATCATTTTTATATTTCCCCACCGAGCAGGCTGATTTTATTCTGAGATGCAAGAGATCCTCTCAGTGTAACCCAGTTTCGCTCTCGCTATTACCAGAAACCACCAGGATCTCATAAAAGAAAAAAAAATATGGGTCATGAAATCTATATAAGCCAGTACAGACTTAAATAAAGCTGAAATTAATACTGGTTTGAAGATAACCTCAATCTAAATGCGGAAGCCAAGCTATTTTTTTGCTGTTTATGCTGCTTTATGACCACTACTGTGGGATGGAAGGGGCCATTTCTGCAATTCGAGTGCTGATTCCTACTGTGATGCCCAACTCCCAGCCAACAGGGAACTGTTTGCCAGCTGGTCCCTGGGATCCCAGAGATGTGGCACCGAGAGGAACAAAGATCCTGTCTCCTCCCCTTCAGAAAAATGAGACATCAGACTTGGTTTACACTGAATAGAGAAAGGGAAGTTCATGCATTTCCTCCTTCCCCTCCATCCTGCACTAATTATTCTGCATTTGAAAGGGCTGCTTCTGAGAATTCAAACTGCAGCACCCATCAAAACCTCCCATGCAGCCTGCAACAAATGTGGGGGGGGGTTGTGCCCACCTTCTACGAAGCTGAAACCCAAATCCTTCATAAGGTGTACCCTTGCATCACACATTTTCCTGCACACAAACTGAAAGCTGCTTCTATTTGAGAAATACAGCCTCAGAAGTCTACCACAACCAACTGTACCACTTATACTAGCATTGCATAAGTGCCTTTTTTTTTTTTTTTCCTTGTGGTTTTCACAGAACAGCAGCTCTTATTTTAAATTTTTAGAGCAAGGATTTGAAAAAATCAGATACTCAGTCCCAGCTACTGAATTATATCCACACAGGAAAGGCAGCATCGGAATCAGAGCCGGGCTGGGGAAATTATATTCCTCCTAAAGTCAGAAATCTCACCCTGACTTCAGTATGCGAGAAATTGGTCAATTTAAGCAAATCTAAATTATATGCCCTGGAACAAGCATATTGGCCTGAGTACTTAATGACACAGAACACACTGGCACACTGCTGGAGCAGATAACCATTGCATAACCAAAAGTGTGATTACTAAGAGAGGAATGAGGTTGAAAAGGTATTTAACTTAAATGCTCAGCACTACCAACTAAGTGATTGTGGGTAGTATTTATATTTCGTTCTACTGCATGTGATTGTATAGGCACTGCAAGAAATCTTAAAGAGATCATTTTCCTACTGGATGGGTAATATTCCAGCAGAACTCTTGCAGCATATTCAAGCTCTCTTACGTAAATAAATTTGCTAAATAATAACTTTCATCTCTTCCATTTAAGAGGTCAATCTCTTCCATTTCCTAATTTTAACAAATACTGTTTTATGCTAACCCTGGAAATGCTCAGGATTTTCTGTTTTGCTCAAGTCAGGGCCCAGGCACACAGCATATGCTTGCCTTCGAAACCCAGAACTGGCTGGGTGGAAGAGGCCACTACCTCATGCAACAAGAGTTTCACACCTCCAGCGGAAGTGTGCAACAGTGACGGTGTGAAACACCACTATCTACTTGTGCTATCTACAAAACACAGCATGTTCTTGATGGCTGTGATTAAAAACAACAAACAAACAAACAAAAAAAAGCATGCCTTGACATAACTTAAAAACAAGATCATAGTCTAAATCAAGTTATTTCATCACTAACAGTACAGCCTTTGTGAAAGCTCTCAAAGCTCTTTAAAAATAAGCTGTAGCTGTCGCCACCTTCTTATTAAAGTTTAATAAGCCCAGCTTTTTAAACCACATAAAATTTTCATCAAGTTTCTCCTGACCTTTGTAAAAATCTAAAGAAAGAAAAAAGGTCAAAAGAGCTCTTTCCCCATGGAGCAAGTGTTTTGAAACGTGGACATTTGGAAGAAGCCTAGAGCCATGTAGGGGATAGAGAAGGCACAATTTAGTATTCCACAGACATTCATTAAGTTACAGTTATATTTAAACTTTCACCATCCCAGGGGACCACACTAAGTACCGGCTACAGTGTGGTCATTTAAGAATGACATCCTTAGGAAAATCTACAGGATGCCCAGGGGACCTGCAGCATCAGACACTATTTATAGTAACTGAAAAGGAAATCCTGTGCCACAACCGAGGCTTTGTAAGTTTGCATTTGTTTTAGGTCAGACAGAACACCAGCCTCACAGGGAGGTGCTGTGCATGAGCCATTATTTGGGGGAAAAGGGGGACAGTGGCTAGAGCTCAGCAGCTTTCTAAGTTAGCCTTGACAGAGAGATACAGCAAAGAGAGCATAGTGGATTTCCCAAGGTTTACTGACCCTTCTCAGTAAAAGCCAAGGCAGACTATGGAGGCAGTGGGTCATTAAGTCCACACTAGTAAAACATTTACTTCCAAAGTTTAAGTCGTATTTGAGTTGACAACTTGAGTCAAGATCTCTAAGTATGGTCATACATAACTCAGTTCTTAAATTAAGAGTTGAAAAAGAATGTAAGAATGGCATGATGGACAAAATTTTTGTTAAAATGAATGACTAGGAGAGTTAGGTACTCCATACCAAGTGTGATCTTAAGTAAATTTGAAAGTTAAAACCATTTAACTTTCCTCCCTGTTCCCAACATACATACATGCATTACTCAGCCAACACAGAATCTATCTTACTCATGGACCTACACTCATCAAAACCCAAATATTTTGTTTCAGTTCTATTCTTTCCAGTAAGAAGATCTTACACTGGTGCTGTGAGAATGAAAACACTTTGCTGTATAAAAATCCTTGTCTGGCAAAACGCTCTGCCTTGGAACAAAGAGGTTCTGAACATCAGTTTGATGGAACATTCCTTAGAAACTACTTGTTCCCCATTGACTATTGTATACAGAAATATCCCCCCCAAACAAAGGGGAAAAAAAGGAGACCCCTTACCTGATTTCTGTCACGTGCACTTGTGTACCTGATCTTCTGGATGAAGTAAAATATTAACCACGCTGAAGAAATTATCATCAAAACAATGAATGATATTGACACAAAGACTAGAGAGCCCCGACTGAAGTTTTTCGGAGGAACACGGGACCCCACTGCAATTCCCATCAGGACAGAGATATTCTTTTCCAAGTAATTCAGGATCTCCTTAACCTTCGACTCTGTAATCATCACAGCAACAATGTCTCCAGTTCCTACAAAAAAAAGGAAAAATATTTAATTTACATTTAAAATTAACCTGGCATGCTACTCAAAAGATTTTCCAAATGCAAAGCCATTTGACAACTCAAGAGATTTTAATCTAAGCCATCCATGGCACACGGAATATGCCACTGGCCACTCAACTCCTGGCTTGTCCTTCAAACCCAGATTTTCAGATTAGGGCATTAACATGCAAACTGTCTGCAGCTCCACGCACAGCAACAGATCTCTGCTGCTTACACAGTACTTCCCACATTGTAATTACTGTGTGCAGCCTGAACCAGCTTCCAAGAGTACATTTGTTCCATATTTGAAGCCATGGATACCTAAACAGGCAACTCTCAGAAAATATTTCAAAGATGAGTGAGAATATGAGAATATTGCTGGAGTGGTCTCAGCACACCCAGCGCTGCGGACGCTGCTGTGGGGAGTTATGCAAGTTCCCCTGTGTGGTTATGTGGCTGCAAAGCAAAAGAGAAATGAAAAAACTTGGCAGAAATGTGAGTGCTGATTTTATCTCCCGTACAAAGACACGCTTGATAAGATGGCAAAGAGGCTGTCAGCTCCATCAGCTCCATTCTGAATGCGTGGCCCATCTGTTTTCATTGTGTCTTGCCTCTAGACCACTTCCTGTCCCAAAGGGAAAATTATTGGTACAAGGATAGTAAAAGAACCAAAAGAGTTGCTGAGAAAGAACAAAATCACCTGTAGAGCAGAGAGAGCACCTATGTTTAAAGCAATTAAAAAAAAGTGGATCTTGAACTCAGGATAATTCTGATCCAAGTTCAAAGAAAGATAAGTTTCAGAAAAACCAAAGCAGAAAGAAAAAACCCTTATGAGTGTCTTTCTTATTCATCCAGATTTATTTGCTTCCTATACCAAAAACCCTTTCAAGACCTATTTTCAAAATGCTTGCAAAGTCTGCTCATCTGCTTGTTCCATCTGTTTGCTCCAATTCACATCCCCTCAGAGAGGAGCTGTATAAGGCAAGCAACTTCAGAACCAAGATTCTGGATTTAGAGTGGGTTTAAGCTACAGAGAACCTACTGTGACAGTAGAGAACATGAGGTCCCATTTTAACACAAGGCATTTGTTCAAAGTCTTTTAATTAAAAACTCATTTTTAAGAAGCTACTGTATCCAAAAAATGAACGAAATAGCAGCATTTTTGAAACCCAGGGCACAATAACTCAGCTACATCATTTTCCAAAGTGGGGACTTAATAGAGTTGTGCAACAGTGTTAAATGTTATCTCATTACTCTTTCCATTCACCCTGCCAAATAGTAACTTTTACATTCACTATCATCAATTTTCAGAGTAAGTTCACTGATGTTGATGTTGTAGATTGTGCCGACAAAACTACTCAAAAGAACCAAAGCCGATGAAATTAGGATTTGCACAAAAATTGAAGACATTACACAGCCCTCAAATTGTTTTCCTCAAGAAATTTCGAAATTGAAATGGCAAAGACATTCAGGCCTTGTCCTACTACACGGGTCAAAGTAGGAAAAGAAAGTTCAGTGTTTCCTTCTGAATATTTTTAAAACAAGTGTCACAGTAACTCAAAAGCTTTGAATTGCAACCAAAACCCAACACAATTTATGGACACAATGTATTTCATCTCTAGCCTAACACAGATTCACGCAAGACCAACTTTAGTCCAGCTCTCCATAGACACTTCAGCGTCAAGTCTGGTTTCATGCAAAGTAACAAAGATATTTAATAGGCAGCAAAGCTCAGAGTAAAAATCCACCACTTGCTTTATTTTCATGGAAATCTACTGAGATTCCCATTTGTCCACTGGGGAAGACAGTCCCTGCCCAGACTTGCAGCACATTTTTACAGGAAAAGAGACACCTTTCCTGCAAGATTCTGTATGCACATACAGCACGTTGAGCTCCTGCAACTTCAAATCCCTGCAGCTCTGACAATGCAGCATCAACCGAGAGCAGGTCATTTATACTGCTTGATTTTTCCCCCAGACTTCTCTTCTGTTCTTCATATCTAGTTCAGACAGTGAGGAGAAGCAGGGAAGGCTGTGGGGGGACTGTATTCCCCAGAGCACGTGTTCTGCTACGCTTCCCCAGCAGGAATTCATTTGCAGCAAGGAATTATGCTAGTATCAAAATATCAGGCAGAAGCACTCAGTGTAATAATATTCCAACATGATTTATAGTTATCTGCAGAGCAAAGATGACTAAGATCTTCTGATACTAGCCCAGTTCTATCTGAATCCAAAGCTGAAGCCTCTACCTATTCCCTGCTGCCCAGGGAATGTGACAAAGCTGACAATCTGTCACGCGTTTTATATAAAGCCCAGCACAATGGGAACCTCTGGCATCACTGCAAAGTGATTTGCATTCCAAATGACTCAACTGGGAACAGCCAAAGTGCTACTGCTGCTTCTGACCTCGCAAAAGCCAAGGAGAACTGCAGAAAAGAAAAATAAATTGCGCCTGTTTAACGTACTGAAGCTCAGTGGAAACTGGGACTTGGTTCATCCGTATTTTTGTCAGGGGCATCACCCTAAATAATTTTAGCAAGAGCTCCCTGTTTGAGAACAATCGGGGGCAGGAGGAGACAGTGACTCATTTATTTTAAGCACCTTGAAACCTTGGGTTTCTGAAAGTTTAGCAGAAAAAAAAATCCTCAGGTGAAGACAGAAAGACTAACTGTTTGTGAAACTTAGAATATGGTCTTACTACATAATCTTACGGGATGCAATATTCCCCTCAGCCAAGAACACAGTGTCCAGAGAAAAGAAGCTGGAATGCTTACTTAAGCCAATGAACTACACACTGAACCATAGATGACAAGCTAGGACAGACGGTAGGCACAAGATAAATATTGATGCCTGTAAATATAAATCATTTAATTGCTATCATCCAAGCCCAGGCAGATCTTTCTAGTTTGCAATTTTACCATGTGCATGTTTAATTAGGATAGTTATACAACTCTGTGTATGAAAAGGGATGGAGTTGTGATTAATCATTAAATCTCTGTAAAGTTACATTGTGAGAGGAGAAGAGAGAAGAACTTAAAAAGCTGAGAAGACACAAAAAACCAAGAATATGGGAAAAACAGCAACATCCCGAAGTTTCTGTAGAGTCCCTAAAGAAACTGCTTTGCTCTCTCACTGACCTGTCCATATCTCCCAGCAACTCTAAAAGAGCATCGTGGTCAGAAAGTCAATAGAAAGTCATCTCAAAGAAAAGTTACTAGTCTCATCACAAGCAAATATTTGTGGTGGTTTTGGTGTTTGGCTTTTCTTTTTGGTGATTCTTGACTACCAGTTGTTGATCTGAAACTCAAGTGATGGACAACTACGTCCAGCATACCAAGCTATAGACAGGCATGGCTCAAAGAGCAGTTTCCATCCAACCACAGTCCCTTGGAGGTGGCAGGGAATGGCAGCCTGGCAAAACGCAACTGCCAAACAGGTGGTGTTTCCCTTTTTCCTTGAGCTTGTGAACAACACAAGCAGCTGTTTGGTCAATGCTGGGGGAGAAGGACAGGTGAGGCAATTCCTCCTGGGCATTTCAGCAACCTGGCACTGAACTGTTGCTACTGCTGCAATGCCTCAACCAGCCTCTTGCAAATGGGGAGGGCAAAACCTTGGACCCCATCTTGACCATGGGATGAATTGGACCACCTGTAAGAGGCACTGAGCTATTCTGATTTTTTGTAACAAGGTTTGGGGAGAACTGAGAACTAAGCCAGATACTCATAACAAAGGTCAACAGCTTGCTAATGGCTGATATTTTCAGCTCAAGTCCTTGTAATTTCCTAAGTCTCTGACGGTGGCTGCTGATGCTGCAGACACAGCATGAAGCAGATAAACTGTGTTCAGGCCATGCTTGCGAAAGAAAATTGTTCTCTCTTTAAATAGCAAAGAACATTTAATTGTAACTGATTCCTTTCATCACTTCATTCTGAAAAACCTAATCTTAAAGCACGTTCTGCTGGTGGAAATTTCAGAGTGTTTCTTTAAAAAAATGCAAACAAATTCTACATTTCCTGGTAAAGGTAAAGAATTGTACAGACAGTCACTTGTAGGATGGATCCAGGGCATGATTCAGATATTGAAATGCCACAGCCTGTGTGACTGCAACAATGGGAACATCATCATGATAATGTAATTGGAAATAAAACTGCCCATCTTCACAAACCAGACTTCCCTATTCTTCTATTAAAATCCTATAACTCTGTGCTAAGCACTTCTGAATGCATTATATGAGAAATAAAAAGACAGCAACACACACTGTTCAGTGCCCAGGAAAGGGATCTGTCTTACTACTGTGAGCAACAGATTTCTTGGAAAAACACTAACAGTGAAACCACTCCACCAGAATTTGGGAGCCCACAAAATGACAACAAAAATCCCCAGGAAAGCACAAATGAAGTGCTATGGTTATATATGAAATATTGAGAGACTGATCACGAGTTCCGTGAAAACACCAGAACACGTCTGAGCTGCAAGAGAGCAGAGGTGGAAGCAGGAATTACACCTACAAGGGAAGGGTTTAGCCACAGAGGATATAACCCATAGAATCTGTGAGGTGAAGGAAAGGGAAAAGGCACACTGAGCTGTATGCAAAGCTGTGCTGCTAGAAAAAGTGGGCCTGGGGAATAGAGTTTTAAATAAAAACTCCACAGTGCTTCACAACAGTGGGGAAAACCACAAATTCATCGGATAACTTAACATTTTAGTCTGAGGAAAAATAAATGGGTTGTGAAGAATAACTCTTACACTCTAAAACTGGCTTATGGAAAAGCAGACACCAAGAGGAAGAGCCTTGGCATACCTTCAGAGTGATTAAAACAGGTCTAGCTGCACATATTTTTATTTTGATCTAATCAGAAAGTAAACAGGAGCACATCCAAGCTGTCAACACATGAGCAATGTCAAGAGTAAAATATGTTGTTTGAGATGTCCCAAATCAAATACTTCTGAAAACAGAACAAAACCATAATATTTGACAGTTACTTAGTT